AAATAAATAAACTTTTTTCATTTATTTATTAATTTTTACAATTTTTAGGGACAATTTGGGGGGGGTCATCAACTTTTATTACACTGTACTGTAGATCAAAACAAACGAATGCTCAGTAATATTTTTTTTAAATGAGAGAAACCACTTATTTCAAATAGACTGCAGTTTCAGGTTGCGTCTGCACAACAAAATGACAAACATTTTAACTTGCAATGATACGAAATAAAACAAGATATGCAATGTAGAAAAATTAGGAAAAAAAAATACAATAATAAGAATGAATGATGTTTTTCAGGTAAGACAATAACACATCTTTTGCACACAGAACTCAGCAGTCACGTTAAACAACATGCAGACTAATGCTCTCTGCATGCATCAAGCGACAAGAGTTATTTGAAACATATAAAAGGTGTAATAAAAAAACATAAAAAGTGTAAATAAAATATAGACAATCAACATTATTTGACATTTGAAAATAGTTTTGGTTATTTGTCCTATAGTCCGCCTCTGCCATATTCATTAGGCCTACACAGTATCAGTCATCAGCAACATGGCAAACATTCGTGTCGGTCATATAGATACATATAGTATGGCTATGCATATGATATAATATGAAGTGTCCATAATTGTAGCATCCGTAACACGTTATTATGGCTGTTCAGAGCAAAGAAGGGAGACGAGTTGATCATTATTAGAATGGACATAATTTGCCTTTGTACAGAAAGTTTATAGTTTTCTAGTATTAATAATAATTATTATATGATATTAACTTGCCAGGGACATGACACAGCACTGAAGCGTCATGATTTCATAAATCTAGCACTTATACATCCATAAATCATCGCTATTAGGACAAAGTGAGTATTTATTTTTCAGACAGGTCTCCATCTTTCTACAAAATGCTTACTGTTGACATACATTTAAAAAAATGGTTGAGCTTTGACCCCTCTTATGAAAACATAAAATATATAGTTGGATGAAAATTTAATTTTACTATTGGTTCATAGTACCTCATTTGTGGTGGATAAACATTATGTATTCCTTCAAATTTCTATTGAAGCACGTTAATGGTGTAAAATACAGACCTAAATGCAGAACTTAAATAGGGTTTTGTTCTTTTCGTAAAAAATGTTTTTGCCATGGTAAGGTTGACATTTGCATTGAATTGCTCCTACATTTTCTTCTTGGAACATAATACTGCCATGAACATTTAAAAAATACCTTAACTAATATAGTGAAAAATGCCAAAAACTGTTTTGTCAGAACATCTGAAGTGGTCCTCATATAAATTGTGTAAAGGCCTGTTCACACCAAGGACGATAACTATAAAAATAACGATAAAGCTATAGTTCTAAAAATCATTCTCAATATTAAAGAATTTCAGTCCACACCATAACATAACATGTAAATGGATTTAAAATTAGCTGACTGCTATTATTAAAACAGGTTAATCAATCTGGTATTAGGAACAATCCTGTTGCATAGGTATAAACATATAATATACACTCTCAATTAGATCATTCGAATACGAATTCATAGAGACCAAACATGGTATACAGTGGGTACGGAAAGTATTCAGACCCCCTTAAATTTTTCAGGTCCTCATATGGCTTGTTAACTGAGGGGTGTTACAGAGTATTTGTTAAATATAGCTAACAAAATATATATTGTGTGTTTGATTGGTCCAGACGCTACACTATAATGATAAAGGCACAGAGAAACAATATAGTTGGAATCACTTTCAGAATTTTTTTTTCCTGCTGATGAATGATAAAAACATTTGACACCCAATCAGAATCAATCCTGCTATAACAAGCTCGAGAATTTAAAGCGGCAGTCGAGTGTGCGCTCTGAATAAACGGATTATACTGTCTGCTGATGTGGACGCTAATATAGTTAGCTTTATAGTTATCGTTCTTGGTGTGAACAGGACTTAAGCCTCAGATTTACAGGTACAGTTAGGATTTAGCAAATCATCAACTACTGCTAACTGAAAAATAAACCAACATGTGTATATGGTTTTAGAAGAAGGCAGTGTGGCTTCACACCTTTTTGATGCTGCTGGCATATTGCTTCATGGCGATCTTCTCCACTGTGCTCTCAAAACCAAAGAAAGATTTGATGTCCAGACTGGCAGATTGTTCAAAACATGTCCATTCTTCATTTTCTGGGTGAACCTACATTGGACAACAGGACACATGCCAACTTTGTTAAACTGCCAGTAAAAGAGTATAAAAATAATGTTGTCAGTATCCAATATTTCTACATCAGTTGAAGTAGTTGAGAATAGTATAACAACTTGAAGTAACAGATACTGACTACACTATTTGAACAACCAGATCAGATCTGAGCAAAAGAACACACTGGACATTTACTCCATGAGTTAAAATTTGAAAAGCAAATCAGAATTGCGTGAGTTGTATGCACTGTGAACAAAACAACACATGTGTTTCATTAGCCACATTTTGGTCACTGGCTAACCTTCCAGAGAACCTAAGATAGTGATATTGTACCTCAGAGCTTCTCCTCTGTAACACTCCCATAAATAGAATCTTCAAAGGAGGCCTTAGATGATCTGACCCCATTAACTTTCTCATCATTTACTCGGGCATGATGCACACGGCTACTTTACTTCAGCATTGCATAGTATTACCTGAATAATCTCTAAAAACTAAAACAAGTCACTAGTAGCTCTATAGAAATTTAGATGCTTAGTCCAGCGCCTCTGGCCCAGAGACCGTAAAAAGGTGGAAACCAAATCATGGTGGAACTGATGCAAAATACTGAGTTGGAAAATCAAACCTTAAAGCTGTACGGAACAGTCCAGAGCAGTGTTTCCCAACCCTTTTTATTCCAAGGCCCCCTTCCTCTCCGAATCAATACTGCAAGGTCTCCCATCCTTTTCTAATTACAAAAATCTTTGTATTCTAGTGTTATTACAAAATAGTGTTCTTCTTTTAGTGTTCTTTTTTGGAATCATATTTGGAATCATACTTTGCAAAAATGTCACTGCAGACATTCTTTAAACTTAAAAGTACTCAGCTCAATTATACAGTAACTTGAACAAATAAGCAGACGTTAACCTGCCATACCAAACAAGACCACAGGGAGATGCCAAAAAACTGCATATAGCTACTCTATGGATCAATTTAGAATGACTTGCACACCAAAATACAGATGAAAAATAAAAACATTCTGAATGTGTGGAAACTCAGTCTAAAGGTAGGTTGACGTCATCAGTGAACAGTTCCTCTGTCAGAACAAGCAATTGTGTCTATGTTTGGAGCATCTGATGCCCATATGTACATAAACACCACTGATTCTCACAAACTTCTCCAAAACATGCCTCTTTGGCGTTATAAAACACTCACAGTACATTAGTTTTGACAACTACACAAATATATTGTACTGTGTTCTTGCAGAAAAATTATGTTATAGTTAACAGTGTGCCAAGAGCGCACACACACACGGTTTGTTTGCGCATCTATACTAACAGATTCATGCACAGCTAACTACTCCTGTAGGTCACTGTAATCGTTTTTAACTTGATCACAGTCATCGTCATCCATCAAAACTTTACTAGTTCAACACTGGTTTGCTTTATTCAACCTCACGCAGAGGTTCTGTGTTTTGAGCAGCCGTTCAGTCGGTATTTCACACAGCATGATGACAAACAGCTTGGGCTGTATACATATGATAGAGGAGCAGCTTTGTTATTTATTTTATTTTTTTAATTGAATGTATTAATCCAAAGATTAGTGAATTATATCAATATATTCATGTTATCTCAAACTCTGAGGATTGGTTTTCCCAGCAGGACAATGCTCCATTCCAATCAAGTCATGTCAATCAAGGTGTGGATGGAGGACCACCAGATCAAGACCCTGTCACGGCCAGCCCAATCTCCAGACCTGAACCCCACTGAAAACCTCTGGAATCTGATCAAGAGGAAGATGGATGGTCACAAGCCATCATACAAAACTGAGCTGTTTGAATTTTTGCACCAGGAGTGGCATAAAGTCACCCAACAGCAACATGAAAGACTGGTGGAGAGGTTATTCCACCAAATATTTATATCTGAAATATTCCTAAGTTTAAACATTAGTATTGTGTTGTTTAAAAATGAATATGAACTTGTTTTCTTTGCATTATTTGAGGACTGAAAACACTGCATCTTTTTTGTTATTTTGACCAGTTGTCATTTTCTGTAAATAAATGCTAAATGTTTATTTTGAATTTGGAAGAAATGTTGTCAGTAATTTATAGAATAAAATAAAAATGTTCATTTCACTCAAACACATACCTATAAATAATAAAACCAGATAAACTGATAATTTTGCAGTTGTCTCTTAAGTTTCTACAGAGATGTAGGATGGATTCGCCATTATTGAGCATTAAAAACATATGTAATGTCTGTTTCATTCATACTGGTCACCAGAGGGCACCCTCACGCAGAAACTCCACATATGAATCACAGAAGTAATAGAACTCATGATTTTTCAGGAAATTCCTAATATGGATAAAGGCATCGCTATCGCTGTAACTAAATAAAAAGAAGATAGAAACGCTTAAACTAATCAAACATGAAGACAAACACACGACTGCAATAATATATAACAGTTTATCTGTGTTCTTCAAACCATCTTGGGTATTTTCATAATAAGTATATTTATAATCCATTGCTAATCGACATCCCTTTATTACAGAATAGAAAATATTTTCTGCCTCATTCTGTGATAAGAAGCAACATCAGCTCACAAAAGGAAATTATTTGACATTGTCTTCCTGTTTGTTGCTGCCATGTGTTTTCAGTTTGAGCTCCGTCAAGTTAATTCTTTATCGACTATTTTTTATCTTAAAATCTATTTTATACACCATCATTTTCGTTTCTATAACGTGTGAATATACACCCTATCGTATTTTACAACAAAAACAATGTTGTTGTTATCACTAGTTTTATTTTGATTTCCAGAGTCCGCTATTAGCTTATAGCCCGTTAGCATCATCAGTGTGGTTGCCGCTAATCGCGCTTACATTGCTTTGTTTTACTCACTGTTACTTGCTTTAATGGCGGATGTGTGTCTACCACCTTTGAGTGCAGGTGAGGACACGTTCGAGCTGCATTCAGTGCAGCTCGAGCTGGAGGCCGTGGAGAAGCAGATCCGCGAGGCAGTGGAGTTGGTGTTGCAACAATATATAGTGATATCCTCAATGTTACTCAGAAAACAGGATACAGGTTTAACTCATTCTAAATACTTCTGCTTAAACTTACACTGTCAGATATGCAAAATAAATTTATCGTATCTCTTGCCCTGGCTACTGTGTATAGATCACCAGGGCCGTATAAAGATTTCCTAAAAGAACTTGCAGATTTCCTCTCAGACCTATTGGTTACTGTTGATAAAGTGCTAACTGTCTGAGATTTTAACATTCACATTGATAATACAAATGATGCATTAGGGCTTGCGTTTACTGACCTAATAAACTCTTTTGGAGTCAAGCAAAACATCACCGGGCCCCAAAAGGGTCTGGCTGCAGTCTTGCGCTTGCACTCTCAGACGTGCATTCTCAGACACTTGCACTTCCGCTTCCGTCACTTGCAGTCTTTATTTTTTTTTATTTTGTTCATGTGTGTCTACCTTTGAGTGCAGGTGAGGACACGTTCGAGCTGCATTCAGTGCAGCTCGAGCTGGAGGCCGTGGAGAAGCAGATCCGCGAGGCAGTGGAGTTGGTGTTGCAACAATATATAGTGATATCCTCAATGTTACTCAGAAAACAGGATACAGGTTTAACTCATTCTAAATACTTCTGCTTAAACTTACACTGTCAGATATGCAAAATAAATTTATCGTATCTCTTGCCCTGGCTACTGTGTATAGATCACCAGGGCCGTATAAAGATTTCCTAAAAGAACTTGCAGATTTCCTCTCAGACCTATTGGTTACTGTTGATAAAGTGCTAACTGTCTGAGATTTTAACATTCACATTGATAATACAAATGATGCATTAGGGCTTGCGTTTACTGACCTAATAAACTCTTATGGAGTCAAGCAAAACGTCACCGGGCCCACTCATCATTTTAATCATACGCTAGATTTAATTATATCGCATGGAATTGATCTTACTGATATAGATATCGTACCTCAAA